TGTAATGTTGCGCTGCTTTATTTGTTTAATCGTCCAGTCTGTGAAGAAGGCATTCAAGTCAGAATTGCATTGTAGTATGACTCATTTCCTAGCGCATACAATTTATATTAGGTCAGCGTTCACGGTTCGACTTCTGATATTCAGATCGAGTTCTAGGTCAAACTGGTTTATTCTAGTGAGTTCGAGAACCGAGGTACCACTGTATTATTATTATTCTGAAGCACATTCCAAATCATGTATAAACACTGAATAAGCAGATTAACAGATTTTTTTGCTTTAAAATGAGGAACTGTTGTTTCAATCAACATGATAATTATGTGTGTCTCTCAGACAGCACATTACCTGCTTGACCTCAGCTTGCTCCTGGACGAAGAAGAACTGTATGAAGCATCCCTCAGAATCGAGCCTAAAGTGCCTTCCTGAAGCAGATTGCCTGGCACTGGGGGCTCCAGTTTGTACATAAAATCTCTGTCTGACTCCATGTTGGACGTACCTTTCTCTATGTGTTCCTGAAAGGACTTGCGTGTCCTTGGTCATTAGATATCTAATACGCCTTCATATGTATACAGATGGATGCTTTATTATCCACGTTTTTGTCTCTGAATAACCAAGTCATTTTCAAATGATACAGAAAAACACAGGACGCCTATGAGAATTCCTACTGAAGTCCTACCCTATTAATGAAAAGTTAGCACGCCGATTGGTGTATTTTGGTATTTACCTACCCAACTGTTAACTGCTTAATTTTCATTTCTCCTCCTGATTCTGAATTCTTTACACAGTGAAATCATGCACTTCAAAATCAGGATGAGTAATAGTATGATAATTCTTACGATAATTCTTAAAGAGCTGAGCGCATTTATTCAGATAATGATTATGTGTAATCGCTGAGTGATTATGTGTAATCGCTGGTGAACTCCACCCTAATCCAAGTGCCCGTCCGTGAATCTTTGCTTATTTCCATGTCTATAAAATCCTTTTTTTTTTTTTTTTTTTTTTAAAAAAGGGCTGGTCAGCTGGGATTGCCCCCCTTTGGTGAGTGGAAGTGTACCATGTAACATATGAACATACAAGATTTTTAAAACAGAGCAATTACTTCCTCCAGCAAAAAAAAAAAATAAAAATTAGAATTGATCAGACTGAAATATAGGCTACATTAAGTGGTATTAGATTAGGTGTCTGCTCTTTGTTCCAGGTTATAAAAATATTAAACATTTGGTCATGTGGTAATGGGCTATCAATGGGCTTCAGTGATACTTACATCTGTACAGCAGTAATCTGTCCACAACGTATATCTGACCTCTTGCTACGTTTACCTGCAGAACGGGGGCTGTCTCAGATCACTATGTAACAGCACAGATGTTTTAATGCTAAAGCACTTGAAGATGCAGTATATCTTCATGTGGCAATAAAGTGCCATCAGAAAAGACCGTTTCAGGGTGGCTCAGTTACTCAGAGTAATAGGGAGGTGTGTTTACTCAGATTACTGTAGTGTCGCCTGCTTATTGCAAAACCTTCATTTCTCTTTGCTCTGAGTTGGATTTGACAGGTAATCATGGGTCAAGATAAACCATCATCTCCCTATTGATGGAATCCAGGCTGCTTCTTACCTTTCGTTCTAGTTAAAGATTATTATTGGAAACCTGCTTTGCACCCACAGCGTTCTGAAGGTATTTTCCTGGAAGTGACTTTTTGAAGGTTAAATGAATACTGCACCTTTTAGCGACTGTGGGATCTCACATATTTTGTACAAACTTCTGCCTGAAGGAAACGTACGCTGTATATTTTGTACAAACATGCAGCTTTATATATTCCTGAATGTGATGCAATGTTAGGCTTTGTGTTCTAAGAAGCTGACCAGTCAGGCGCGCTGAAGAACACAACACTCAGATCGACCGTGTTCAAAGAGAAGGTGACTTTAAAGTGTGTTGCATATACTGTAATCCTGTCTATAATTTATCTGGTAGCAGGGGTATAGTAATTTAGTGCTTACTCTGTCAATATTTTTATGTATTTTTACAATGTACAGTATAGAAACACATCCAGTGATTAAACAGAAGGCATGTTTCACTCATTCAGTCAAACACAGACAAACATACTCACACACACAGGTGCACACGCTTAGACAAAATATATGAAAAATAAAACTGACGTTTTGCTGTGAGCAATACCCTGTGGTATGAGAATGATCTTTAGTCCGTTAGCTTATTTACACAGCTAGAAGCGTTTCCAGTTTTGTATAAAATGTGTTTCCTGATTACCTCTTATTAATAAATATATTATATCTCAGGGGAATGCTGACTTCATGACTATTCTCTGAATGGGCTGCACGATGCTTTTCGTGGATTTCCTGCTGTCTTCTTGCTAACCCTGTGGCATTATGACATGAAAATGGGCAGCGGTGTGGAGAACCTTTCAGTCGTTCCCCTGAAGCACTCGTCCAGATCTGGGCTGCAGAGAACCTGAAGCCTGTTCCAGGAGGCTTAGGGTAGTGTTTCCAAATCTGGTCTTTGAGGAGCCGCAGTCCATATTTTTGCTTCCTCCCAGCTCCCGTCCAGACTGTTCACATTTACTGGGAGCTGCGAGGGAGCAAAAACATGGACTGTCTGTAGGTCCCTAAGGACCAGATTGGGAAACACTGGCTTAGAGTGCTGATCTGGGAGGGTCACTGATGGCTTTTAACAAGGACCTTCAGAAACCATGAAGATCAAATGAAAATGAAATGATGCTTTATTTGCTATTTGCACAACTATGAGAACAAGTTCATTGGAATGCTTGGACACACAGGGGATAGTAAAGCTTGGGGCCAGAGCACATGGTCAGCCTTTAAACCAGCGACCCAAGAGCACCAGATGAATTAGAAGCTCATCCTCTACCAACATGTGATGCTCATGTCCTTTCTGTCAGTTCATCAGCAGCTCATCATGGATCGTACAACTCCGTATATCTCCTTTAAGTTTATATGCATCTATGTCAGTACATTTACATCTACTGCATTTGGCAGACACCATTAGCCAGAGCGACTTGCATAAGTACTAAAGCTGTTAAACTACTGTATACTAGTTAAGATCAGCATGCATACAGCATGCGTGCTGCTGGAGATCAAAGCATATTGGGCCCCCAGCCCAGACAAATTATGTTCTAATTTTTTAGGGCCCCTGTCATGGGGGGGGGGGGCTGATGACCAAAAAAAAAGTGTTTTTTTTTAAAGGATATTCAGAAAATCATTTCACACCCCACAGATAGAGAAACACTCACCTGTACAACGTTCCTGGGAAGCTTGACCAAGACACTTTCAAATTTCAGATTGCTGTGTTCATAAGATGCCCTCTCTGGTCACCTCTCACTGTTGTTTCAATATTTGGGCGATTTGTTCAGGTCTGTCAGGTGTAGATATTCATACGTGACATTTTTGTGAGCTGGTAATGAGATCCATCAAAGATCAAACAGTAAAGCAATAATATGATCCTGGTGACAAGGTCAAGCGTCCTATCTATGTCACCTATTTCTTTGCTGTCACTATGCGGTGCTGCTTCTGTTTTGGTGCAGTTTGTCTCAAAATTTGATCAGGTCCATTTCTTCACACAAAGAGCAGATGAGCCTCCTGACTCTGCAGGTCACCATCTCCTGGGGGGGGGGGGGTTCCCTCCCCCATCATGGCGAAACGTTGGACCGTATCTGCAGGACGGGTGTCAGGCGCTGGTCCCAGTTTCTGTGTGTCTCCTCAGGTGCACATCTGCGCCTACTTCTCCACCAGCACTGGAACTCGAGTGCTAATGGCATGCAGGGGCTGTATGGTCAGGTGGGCCTTCAGCAGGGGCCCAAACCCCAACCCAACTTCAGGGACCTTTACAAACTCACATCAGAAGTTTTTTGTTTAGCGGCAGTAACTGAAACATGCAAAACGCCCGTTTCCCCTCTGCGGCGTGAGGGACACTGCTGTGCTGGGCTCAGAGGGCACCCTGAGCGTGTTTAGGTAAGAGCGCTTCCTGCTTCGCTGGTCTTACTAACGGGAGTGTTTTGGGACAGAGTGTGCTCATGTTGTTCATAAGTTGAGGATATACAACATCAAACATATGCAGACACCGCTAATACTCAGGCTTTCTACTCTGATATAAAAAATCACTGAATGGGCCACAAAAAACGCAGAATTACACCTATAAGATCAGCTGATGGTGTGATACTTCTCAAGGATAAGCAATTATTCAAGGAGTGTTCTGCAGGACACTTTGACTCCTTGCTCAACAACAGTAAGCCCTCCTTCTGTCCTTGAGGCACCTCCTGATCCTCCACAGCGAACCTGATTTTAACACCCACCTGCTCCATAGGCGATGACATCCGGACTCCTCTGCCTTTGGAAGACTGTGATCTTGAGTCTTCGAGAACAAAAACCTTAAAAAAACAACAAAAACTGCAGTGTATCAAGCAGTGTGCATCTTAACCCTTCTGTACAAAGTTGAAGCCTGGATCACCTATTGCTGCCATACCAGACATTTAATGCACTTAACATCAGATGCCTTCAAAATATTCTTGACGTCTGCTGGAAGGACCGCATCCCCTACAATGACATCCTTGAATGCACCAACACCCTTAGCATAGAAGCTAATTTGGTCCAGAGACCGTGCTGCTAGGTAGGCAGTGTCATCTGAAGACCTGGGGCTCATCTGCCCCAATAGGTGGACAATTACGGACAACTGCCAGCTTCCAAAAGGAGAATGGGTGGTCAAAATATATGTCAAAAAGACCAACTGAAAGAAACACTAAGGAAATGTAACATCAATCATGGGTACCTTGAGGAGTTTGCAACTGACAGACCTACATGGCATTCCTTATGCCAAAAAGGGATTAATCATCTAGAGCAGCGTTTCTCGATGGGGCTCTTAGGGTCCCCCCGACAGTCGACAATTTTGCACCCTCCAGCAAAAATGTGGACTGTCTGGAGGTTCCTGAGGACTGGATTGGGAAACATTGATCTAAAGAATGGTGCCAGAAGCAGCATCACTCTGCCAACACCTAATCAAAGTCTTTCCTGTCCCAGCTGTGGCAAGGTCTGAGGCTCCAGGGTCGGTCTGCATGGCCACGCCACAATAGCCTCTCTCAGTCACACCTTAAACCTACTTGGAAGCTTTATCATCTTTGTTTGCAGTGGACTGCTAAGCCTGTGCATGTCTATACCTTATAATTATAAAAATAATTTATAATCATTTTTTAAATCCTCTAGATGGCAGCAGAGTGCAAAACATCGAAACCATTACTGACAGGTTTCAGAGTAATGAAGAACAGAGAGAACAACAGGTATCTTTTAAACATGTTTCGATGTTTATTTCAAGTAATATGTTTAATATGTTCATGGCACCAGTTACAAGGGACTATCTGAGAGAAACACTGTTTCTGATAGGGGTTTCCTACAGTACAAACATGAATTCAGAATGAGAAAGACCCAACAGAAGCTTGTTTCACACAGTTCAATAAACGTGTGTACAGATACATACACACACATATAAGAAAACATAACAGCAATCCCATATCAAAACTAAAATACTAAAATAAAGAGATACAGTGTCCTAAGCCAGGCTGACAGACAGAGACAGAACAGCTCCGATGGAGAACAGTGTGTCACCAAGGGCATCCAGACACATTTTCACGCTGCGCGTTAGACAGAAGACCCCGCCACGCTCCAGCTCCTCCACACAGCTCCATACTGGCCTCGTTTGTTTCCTCTGCTGGATGACGTCAGGCACAAGGCGTGCGTGACCCCAGGAGCGAGACGTCAGCAAGGCAAGCGTCTGGCGAGCCGGGAGGACAGACCGCGCCGACCTCCGCAGGCTGACCCGAGCGGGATAAAAGCGGCATCGAGCAAGGCTTTGGGAGTTTAACAGCCAGCTAAACTACAGGCAGTCCCCGGGGTAACGAACGACATCCATTCCCTAAGGTTGTCTTTAAGTCGAATCTGTAGGTAAGTCGGAAACAATCAATTCAGGTGATTGTTCGATTCAATTTATTTCTCATATGTATGTTAACACAGGGTCAACATTACAATGAAATGTGTTGGACGAGAAGAAACGGGAAAACAAGTCTCTCAGCATTGAAAGATAATAGTAATACAGTAGGCTACACAACAATAATAAATAATAAGTAGGCTAACTATATACTCTGCTGTGTCATGTACGAGTCAACAAACTGCTGAAGCCGCGCAGAATTTCCATGAATGTCACAAAGTTGGTGCGTTCATTATTATTATTTAACTCTTTTAATATAATACGATTTATGGCAGTCCGTTCGTGAGCACGAGTTGTTCGTAAATCGGATGTTCTTATCCCGGGGACTGCCTGTACTCCGCTTTCACAGTCGCGATCAGCTCCACAGCCGGCCTCCTCGACTCCTTATTTGCTTCTGCGGTCTGTATGGAGGTGAGAGGAGACGAAGCAGGAGCCCACATAGGGTGAACCCTAAATACAGCAGATACAACAGAGTGCATACGAAATGTCAGCCTACACGAATAATTCAAAATCAAAATACTCTTCATAAATGACAGAAATAACTAAAAACGATAAAGCAGCTAATGTGAAATTATTCCGTCTTACAGCACTATCGAATAAAAGTGTAATAGAACTGAGGAGAGAAGATTATGTGCATTTCGACACACAGGCTCCGGTAAACAGCATCCATCTAGTCTCTCAGCCTGCCGCTATCCACACATTATTACTGCTATCCTTTTATTATTACAATGTTCAAACAGTATTGCTTAGAGATAAAAAGTGGTGTCTTGTTTGTGCACATTGAAAGACCACCATCATACTAAAGCTACATAATGCTGTTTAATGGTTAAAAATTATGAAAAATCTCGCTCACTGATTCTGCACCATGGTTCTTCTACAACAATCTAAAACTCCGTCTTAACAGCAGTCGCCAAACCCCATTCAAGAAATTCTAAAGAAATTACCAGTAAAACGGTATAAAAAAAAAAAAAGTTGCATCTCTAATATGTCATAGTATTCTGCTTCAATCGCATGATCACATTTTCCTGGAAATTGCTTTCCTCTGCATGACTCCGTTTCCTGTTCCCGACAGTGCAGCCGCTCCTCGGTGACACCGGCTTTCCGGCGCGGCGGGTAAAGCCAGCCCTGGGATCGCAGTTACCCAGACCAACACCGTGAGGACATGGACTCGCCTGCAGCACGGTTACAAAAGTAGAATGACGAGCAGCGAGTGCATACAGAGCCCCGCCCCCCGCGGCGCCGGTGCCAGGGTGCAGTCACCCGGACATCCGGGCCCGTCCTCACCACCCCAGCTGGCAGCAGGGTCACCTGACCCCACCATCTCAAAATAATAACAACTCCCCTGTATCTCTACTATGGCCTACAGCTGTGTTACTCCTGCACCTGGTATATGCACCCTGGGAGCGAAATGAACACAAACAGGGTTTTATCCTGAGCACAGGATCTCAGCTGACTTTATTGCTCTCTCACATGGATATGACTATGGGGGGGAGCCCTGACTCCCACACACTGGAGGCAATACCACAGCTCACCTATAGAGGGTACTGTAGGTATAGAATACACTGTGACTAGACTGGACAATACCAGGGTTCACTGATTTACACTAAACTAAGAGTTCGTCCAGTTGCTGTAGCAGGTATCTTTGGTAGAGATGTGAGGAATGCAGCATGACCTTAAAAGCTGAAGGTGGTTTCATCGAGGGCAAAGTACTGCTTCTAGGTAGGACCTGGATAAACTCTCACTTTAAAAGACCTTCTTCCAACTTCCCCTTCAGACTGTAAGCTTCACCTGATCCACAATGCTAAAAAAGCATAATTTAATATACAATAATAAAATAACATTTCAATTCTGTAAAAATATACATGGAAAACTGTCAATATATTAGGGAAGAAGCTATTTTTGTACAAAAAGTACAGCATTATTACAGATAAACTAATAATTCTTAATAGCATAATTTCCATAACTGCAAACTTAACATCTTTAATCAAACCAAACTCCAAACTAATCACCCCCCCCCCAAAAAAAAAAAAAAACTCATATGGAGCCCCCTCCAGTAACATCCTGAACTTAAAATGAAATCAGTAAAATTTCAAAGAAAATCAAAGACGGGAATCTGGGAGGATGTTCTGCTCGTGGTCTGTCCGTCAAGCATCCATTTATTAATCTCGGCCATGCACAGGCGTGTTGCCCGTGTGTACACCGTGATCGCTGCTTAATGGAGATGGACGCTGTTATGCTAGCCTGCAGAAGGTCATCTTGGCTACCTAAATGTCTCTGAAAGTCACCAAAAGAGTCTGACATCTACAACCTGCCTCGTTGCTGCTGTTTGCACACACCTCGATGCTATGAAATGACTCTGGATGTCTTAAATAAACCTGGCAGCATAAAGACTCTGTTTGCTGCTCATAAAAACATGCCAGACCTTAAACAAATCAACCCAACCAACACAGCTCTGCAATTCTAAGCTGTCCAGCTCTGCACATGCTCAGTTATACCCCATCAGCATCCGCTAGGTGGCGCTCCCGTACAACCAGCACAGCAAAGATTAACATCACGGTAAAAACCGAGGGCATTAATCGGCCACCTCGACCTCCATGGTGTCGACCACCTCCCACTAACAAGCACCAGCACCTTCTGCCTTTCCGACCTCACAGTCCATTCAGCTTCCTATTCACGTTAAAATGGACATAGAGAAAATAAAGGCTTTGTTTCCACTGATCATAACAAATGTATTATGTCTCTCTGAAGGAAAGTGTGTGCACCTTTTTTTTATTCTTTGATGTCATTTTGATGAAAAAAAGAACTGTATTTCTGTAAAAATAAATGCTCAGACAGCCAGAACATTCTGGAGAGAAAAACAAATGGAAAGAAAGTTCCGTCGTTTAAAAAAGGTAAAGTAAGAGAAGTGAGGGAGAGACAGCACAGGGGGTTGGGCCACCCTCCGCGTTGCCAGGTGATGTCATCCTCTCCCCCCCCCCCACTTCTTACTTGTTGATGAGGTGCCCCCCCAGCCAGCGAAACTTGCAGGCAAACCACCTCCGAAGGGGGCAGAAATACTCGTAATGGAACTGTTCGAACTCCGGGGTCTGCCGGATATCTCGCAGGAAGGCTATGTCGAGGTCTGACTCGGTGAGGGCGATGAGGAGGAGGAGGAGGATGAAGAGCAGTCCGATGGTGACCAGCAGCAGCCGCACAACGCTCAGCACCAGCTTGTTCAGCTGCTCCACTCCGCTTAGCGATGAGATGGCGCCTGTGCGGGTTGCCGTGCTGGGGGGCTTCCTGCCGAGCCTGGCCTCGCCCGCCTCCCCGCCCGGTGCCATCCCTGCCTCCCACTCCTTTTCCTCCTCGATGCTGCAGGGGGAGCCGTTGAGCTGCCGTGCGGCGGTGAGCTCCAGCAGGCTATGCTCGGCCACGGGGGTGGGCAGCACGCTGTCAGAAGGGCTGTAGGCCTCATCAGCGATTACCGACGCCCTCTCGCTGCCGTCTGCCGCCACGCCGTGGGAACGTGGCAAGAAGGAGTCGCCGTGTGACACGGAGCGCACCGGCGTGGAGTGAGCACTATCCCGCAGAGACTCCAGGCCTGTGGCGGAGAGACAGAGAAAGAGGAGGAAGATAGAGCTGCGACAGAATCACGAGTCTGAGGTCAGACCACACAGGGCGGGAGGAAGTGATCGGTTCACCACGGATCCTCAAATGCCCCCCCCCCCGGGAAAGCCCTGCAGACAGCAAGTGAACTGCCAGAACCCTGCTCTGCTCTCAGACCTGGCTGCTACATTTAAACCAGAATTCGCTTCAAAAGTGCCTTTTTGTTTTCCTGTTTCCGCAGACAGAGCAGAGACCCCCCCTTGCCACAAGGCTCCTTGGGCTAAGCATCTGTGCCCATGATCGGAAGGTCGCCAGCTTGAGCCCCGACCTCGGCAGAACATGTCAGTGGGCCCTTGAGCAAGGCCCTTAACCCCCAGCTCCGGGGGTTCTCCATGTTGTCCGACCCTGTGCTGTGATGATGGTATGGGAGGGACCGCAGGCTCTGTGTCATTAAGGGTGATAGTCTGACGTTAAACCTTCCTGCCAGAACGTGTAGGTACCTGTATTACACTCATACTCTTGGTCTGATCTACCTTCTGAAAGCGCAGGACCCTGGGAAACCGGGTTAAGGAAACGTGCTGAATCGCCTTTACAATCCGTAACATTATACCAGACTAAAGCCTTGCTAACTAAGCCAGTTAAGTAAGCCAGACAACTCGAGAAAAACTCGCCTCCGGAGCGAGACACCCACCCACCCTGATCACATGCACTCTCGATGAATTAGTTTCATAAAAGTGTAAATCAGGTTCATCAATGCGGATAAAAGAACCTGCAAAAGAGCCTAATTAAATCAGCCAAGCGATCAGTAAAGGCTCAGAGAGAGGGGGCCCTGCAGTTACGCACACGTCACGCGTACACATCCGAGAAAAGGGGGCTCCATGAAATCCCCAATCCCAAGCAGATGGGGATTCCAGGGTCAGGCGATTACCGGCTTTCGGAATACGGTCAGAAGGTCAGGCGGGCGCACGGGAGCAGAGCGAGAGACGGAGGCTGGTGCATCGCAGCAGAGGAGCGTAAAGCAATCGCCAAACAGAGGGTGTAAGCAGGAATGATCTGGAGAAGCTGCTCATCAGAGGAGCAGCAAGCTTTAGGGGTGAGGAAGAGGTCCGTACGGAGGGGGGATGCAGGGGTCCGCGATCTCGGTCGGGCTCGTGCAGTTACCTGCGGGAACGCCATACTGCGGGAAGATGGCCGGCGCCCCCGGCAACACGTGAGCGTCGCCCGGCTGGCCGGCCAGGGCAGGGAAGAGCGGCAGCACGCCCAGCGCCTTGCCCAGCATGCGCGGGCCCAGGCTGAGCACGCGCACCTTAACATCGCGGTAGCAGTGGTTCACCATGCGCAGGTGAACGTTCACCTTGGTGCGGATGCGGATCAGACACTTCACCATGACGCTGGTGTGCAGGTGCCGGCTGCCCCCTTCCGATGCCGCTGTGCCGTCCCCGTGTCCCCGTACCCCTGTCCCTCTCGCGGGTTCCTCAGCAATGGCTACGGGCTTCGTGCCTCGACAGGGACCCTGACATACATGGCGAGGCGGAGGGGGGAGTCAACGCTGACTGGGCGGCTATTTCCAGGACGGATATTAATACCACATCCCAGGCAGGACAGCTGGGCGGGGGGGGGGGGGGGGGGGGGGGGGGGTGGGGGGGGGGGGGGGGGTAGGGTTTCTGCTGTCCCACCGGCCTAGCCGTGGGGACGGGGCCGGCAGCAGGACCTGCACCTGTACGCTCGCTTTCGGCACGGTCGCTGACGGGGGCCACACGCTGTGGGGGCGGGGCTCTCGAAATAGAGCAGCATGAGTGACGGGAACACCTGAGAGCCCGCGGGGGTCAGAGCGAAACCGCAGGGGGCAGAGAGAGAGCGTGTGTGGGGGGGGGTGTCTTACCCTCCATAATGGAGATGTGCACAGCTCTCCTCCGCGTTCGGGGGACACTGCTTAGCCGTGGGCCATGAGTGATGGAGGGGCAGCTCCTGCTGGGCACCATCCCAGCTCTGTGGGGACAGCAGGCACACAAAGCTGAACACACCTGTACATGCCTGAACACACCTGTCCATAACTGAATATGCCTGAACACACCTTTCCATAACTGAATATGCCTGTATATACCTAAGCACACCTGAACATGCCTGCAAAAACCTAAACATGCCTCTCCATACCTGAACACAACTGTCCATAACTGAACATGCCTGAACACACCTTTCCATAACTGAATATGCCTGTATATACCTAAGCACACCTGAACATGCCTGCAAATACCTAAACATGCCTCTCCATACCTGAACACACCTATGCACACCTGCATATCCTTATAATACCTGTGCACACCTGAACATTTCTATAATACCTGAAAACCCTGCGCATTATGAAATACACTTATACATGCCTGCACATACCTGAACATACTGGAGCATACTTAAACACGCTTATACATACCTGAACATGCCTGACTTTTCCCTTTAGTAATTTGAATTGAAAAACGACAGAATCATTAACATCACTGAAAGTGTTGATGTTTTTGTATGAAATGTTATTTATTTACTTAATGTTATATATGTCATATATTTGTTATATATTTAATAAAAACATTTCTTTAGCTTGCCGGAGGCAGGACAGCAATTCTGACCATAGAAAAGGCAAATTCAGCTGTGTGGGGCACTGACGACAAACAGAGGCCACAGCCATAGTGCCCAGGAACAAATCTTCAAGGCTCAGGCTGTGAAAGCTGAAGAAGGGCTTTTGTTGTGTTTCTATGGGATAATAGCAAAGGACAGCAGCCATGGAAGGCAGGGAGGTCAAGTCTTATCAGGGGGAGGGAACCAGGAGCCCAGTCGCACACTGACAGTCTGCGTTTGGGCAGACGGGAAAGGATTTCACTTAGGAACAACTGTGAAAAAGGGCGTGTCGCCCAACATTGCCCTGTCCTGTCCCACCCCAGGAGACCACACCCACCCCAGGAGGCCCCACCCACTCTGAAAGGCCACACCCCCCAGTGTACACAGGATCTTATGAAAACACATGGGGCAAAGCGCGGCTCCCCGTCCAATGCCTGAAAAGCAGCTCTGGGTCGGCTGAGCTGCACCTTTTGGACTCACCTGTGTATCTCTGGAGGATCACGTTTTATTTTTGCACTTTGCTCCATGACTTCCTTGGCGACTCGTCCGCTGTGTCCCAACACAAACACAAACAGTCTCCACACGCTCTAAACACAGTTACAAACAGGTTCATTCAGTACAGACTCAGGTACTGCTGCCCTCGAAACAAGGCAAGCAAAACTGCTCACGTCTGCTGCTGTAATCTTAAAATCAGCAACTAACTCGTAAATATTATTGAACACACTGTATTTATCTTTAGTGCAGTGCCTTATGGTACCTCTCGTTCATACAGGAATAACACGATGACAGGGATTATATACAGAAGCAGCTTAAGTTGTCCCCAATACTCACACAGTCTTTCCTGTCAAAGTAGGGATGACTGAACAAACAGCAATTTACTGACAGAAAACAGACAGTACTCCTCCAAGCAACATCTTTACCTTCATTACCTCCCCTCCTCTCCTGCTGCAATTTCAGGATGTCATAGTAAATTGTAAAATAGCAGCTGGCGCCCCCTGCTGTTTACCTGTATCGGAAGCGGCTTCCCTTGAAGAACAGGTTACTGCTGGACACAGTACGCACCTGGCTCGACTTCTCCAGCCTTATGAGAAGGAAAAAAGGACAGAAAAGGATGGGAAAAATTATTACAGACAAGCATGCCACGTGTGGGGAATAAAGGGTTAAAGTAATTCCTATTACAGAAGAACATGCCACGTGTGGGAAATAAAGGGTTAAAGTGACACCTATTACAGAGGAACATACCATGTGTGGGGGGAAAGGGGTTAAAGTGACCCCTATTACAGAGGAACATACCACATGTAGGGAAAAAGAGGTTAAAGTTACTCCTATTACAGAGGAACATACCATGTGTGGAAAAGAGGGGTTAAGAGGGGTTTACACCTCTGTGGCAGGTTCAAACAAGGCTTTGCTCTGAAGGACACTCACCTCCTCTCACCTAACCCATTCTCTCATCCCTGTCATCCCTGGACTAGCTGCACTAATGTTCTATTTATGGGCAAAGTGGAGGACCCTCCCCCCATTGCAGATGAAATGGTGACTGGGAAGGGGGGGGGGGCATTTTACTCCAGACCCTTTATTAGACATGCAAGGTCTCCGTTTCTCTTAATGCAGAGCTGAACAGAAATAAAAACACAGCCAGTGAATAATTCACAGCCCTGCCTCACGTCGTTCCCCCCTCCCCCCTCCCCAGAATTGGCCTTTAAATGGGCAGACTGTATTCCACTGCAGACAGTCATAGGAAAAGTATAGCCCCAGCAGTCAAAACATTCAGAAGAACGGTCAAATGGTCACATCAGGACCAAACGGTCATTGGAAGGCGTACGGTTCAGACAGTCCCTCCTTACACGGTCACAGGGGTCATACCACCGACACGACAAAGCCAAAGGCACTATACACATTTACTGACCCCCAGTCCAGTCAGCAGGCTGGAAGAGGCCTGTTCGCAGTTCAGCTCAGCTCTGCTCTACACACCAGTCTCATCTTCATTCCTTAGATTCCACCTCACACACCTCTGATATCCCCAATTGGCCCTGCTGACTGCCTGACGCTGACACAGTCCAGAGCAGCACTGAGAGTGTGTGTGTGTGTGTGTGTGTGTGTGTGTGTGTATGTTTTGGTTATTACATTGTGATAAAAATAAAAATTAAAAAACTCAGAATTTTATAAAAAACAATTTTATATATGTCTGTGAATGCTATCAAAAAATCCAAAAGTCTTGCATTTTGTCTGGTTACTTTTGGTTAAGGTTAGGGGTTAAGGCTGGGTAGGGGTTAAGGCTGCCATTGTTACGATAAGGGTTATGCCCATAGAAATGAATGCAGAGTCACCACAATGATAGGAATATATACTGTAAAGTGTGTGTGGGTGTGAGTGTGTGGACTCACTTGTAAAAAGCTTGGTTCTCCACCCCACATTTCCACAGGTGCTTGCAGGCCTCTGGAGTCGGTGCAAAGTATGTCAGGATGATCTTCTTGTCCTGTACAGGAGAATCAGGAAGGACAAGTACCAAATATGCTACTGAATAATTGGTGTATCCATGAAAATGACCATGAAGTTACCTCTGTGCAAGAGAACTAGGTTACTGTTCATATTTGATTTTTTTCAATGTCAAACAGCATCTCACCTCCCTATGGTTCGCATATATGTGGAAGGTCTTTCCTTCAAACTTCAGCTTGGTCACCTCATTCCTGCACACAAGTTGAGGAGATATCTACAGCTGTATCACACAAGACTTTGGAAGATCACTAGTCTGGGAAAACGGAGATGATGCTGCATGGCTGGCAGTGTAGTACTGACAGAGGACTACTGACTTAGGACTACTGACATCAGACTATTGTCATGGCAGTAGTTAGTACAGAATACTGACTAGAAAAGTACTGATAGCAGACTGCAGACAGAGGAGTACTGACATCAGAGTACTGATATAGGAGTACTAATATCAGAGTACTGACAGAGAAGTACTGACATAGGGGTACTGACAGCAGAGTACTAACATAAGGGGTACTGAGAGAGGGGTACTGACAGAGGGGTACTGACATCACAAAACTGACAGAGAGGTACTGAGATCAGAGTACTGATGGAGGGGTACTGACAGAGGGGTACTGACATCAGAGCACTGACAGAGGGGTACTGACAGCAGAGTACTGACAGAAGGGTACTGACAGCAGAATACTGACGGAGGGGTACAGACTGCAGAGCACTGCCAGAGGGGTACTGAGAGAGGGGTACTGACAGCAGAGTACTGACAGAGGGGTACTGACAGCAGAGTACTGACGGAGGGGTACTGACAGCAGAGTACTGACGGAGGGGTACTGACAGCAGAGCACTGCCAGAGGGGTACTGAGAGAGGGGTACTGACAGCAGAGTACTGACAGAGGGGTACTGACAGCAGAGTACTGATGGAGGGGTGCTGAGAGAGGGGTACAGACAGCAGACCACTGACATAGGGGTACTGACAGAGGGGTACTGACAGCAGAATACTGACAGAGGGGTACAGACAGCAGACCACTGACATAGGGGCACTGACAGAGGGGTACTGACGGAGGGATACAGACAGCAGAGCACTGACATAGGTGTACTGACATCAGAGCACTGACAGAGGGGTACTGACAGAGGGGTACTAACATAGGGGTACTGACAGCAAAGCACTGACAGAGGGGTACTGACAGTGGGGTACTGACAGCAGAGTACTGATGGGGGGTACTGCAAGAGGGGTACTAATATAGGGGTACAGACAGCAGAGCACTGATTTGGATAGAACCATTTCCCCCTGCCTGTCTGTGTCCCTCAACTGTTTCTATGGTTACGGTCAGTATTGTTCCAGAGTTGGAATGCACACTCACCACTTGAGAAAATGGACCCTCTTGTTCCCCTGAAGCACAACAAATCCAAATGGGGTGAATGCGAGGAAGGCGGGGTTTCCGGAAACATCCTGTCAGAGACACCATTCACACAGCAGTGAGCTTTTAATGAGGTTATACAACATGTGAGGTGAGGGAGCCAGCGCCCATGCCCTCACCTTACAGGGGTGAGGATCCACGCCGTACGTCTCCAGCGTCTGTGCCTTCTGCAGGAAGTTCATCTCAGCCGTTTCCGGCGTGTGTCCTCTGTGAAGGAGAGCGAAGGATTGGATTATCTGACACACGTCACACACACACCTTACTAACTTCCAGCAGGAGGTGTTTGTATTTCAAGCTAACAGCAATAATCAGGCAACATTTTAAATGAGCGCCACAACCTGTTCAATGTTCAAGATGCTATCACCACTAGGGGGCAGTCAGAGACGGGAATTGCCAGTGGCACATGAGCAATCCTAACCAATAAGTGTAATCTACTGACGCAAACAGAGAGCTGTGGGAATGTCCTAATGAAACTCTGTGCACTGCTGCATTTACTGCTGTACAATGAAATTTAAAACATTTATGCATCAAATGGAATAAAGCAGTGCTCGAACAGACACTTATTAAACCAAACACTCATACTTTAATTAAATCTATATAATGATAAATATTTGCAGGTAAACCTCACTGGCAGAAAAATTAAGTGTCGTATCTTGTCAAGTATCTGCATCTAAAACAAAATCTCTGCACAAACGTCTGGAATTAAGGACTCTGCTAGAATCATTAAAAAACTGAAGACAGACGCGACTTCCTTAAGCAGCTTGATCCACCTAAAGCATCTCAGCGTGTCTCCTGCAGTGTGAGTGGTGCCAGTAGCCCCAGAGGTAGCACAGTGTGATGTCATCATGATTGCCATGGTGATCATGATGTCACAGCCCCGCCCTCACATCAGCTCCGTCTTGTGGATCTCGGCAATCCTCCGCTCAAGCCGCTCAGAGTGCTTGGGGAAGAACTGGAACTTCGAGCTGTAACCTTCAGGGTGCTTCCCGGGGTCGTAGTCCCCGATCTCGGCTGTGCAGAGAGGACAGCATCACCCGTTAACCTTCAGGCCAGGCCAGGGAGCTTCAGACGTGAACATCTGAGATCCTGGTCACAGAAATACAGTCTGCCAACAGCAGTCACACCAGAAACAGTCGTTTAATGGATGAATATAGTTATATATCTAGGTGATACTGTCGATAATGTTCAAAAACCTGCTGAACCACAAGGGTTGGTGTTAAAATGTGAAGTATATTTGTAAAAATGAGTCTTACCCAACAGATATTTGACGATGTTTGATTTTCCTGCCTGACTACAGAAATCATTTCCTTACTGATCTAAAGCACTGTAAATAAGTCTTAGGCAGTCAATGAAAATGATGTTTAAATGATCTTCATGTTGGTGTACAGCTATGGTATTATCCCTCTCAAAGTGTGTCGGCTTAGTCATTTTAAAACCTCATCTAATATCACCCCCGAATTTGCAGTAACTCGTGTATTTTTTGACTCGACCACTGGTACACCTTGTACACCAGAATGGTTGAGGTGCCCCAGAGGAGAGGTTTGGGAACTGAAGCGGTGTTTATTTAGCCATACGACAAGATAACGGTACCTTTGGGGAACAGAAGAAATTTTTGTTAGTTTTTATTGTGTTCCTGTTAATTTGCACGCGTGTTAAAATGTTTCTTTTTTTCTGAGGAAATATATCCTCACAGCCAGATAAATAACTTTCATTTCCTTTTGCACTTTACTGCATGCTGTTCGTTTTTTTCCTGATTTATTCCCAGTCCACAGGATACTTCACAGATGTGTGGATTGTGACACACCACTCCTATATGTCATCGTGATCCGGAACGCCAGGTATGTCTAAACGTATGCTAGGCAACCATCTTTCAGGTAATGCCGTCCAGGGTTCAGCCACGAAAGCGGGGGTTTATCATTCTGTATTGTGTTAGTTCCCTCCTGGTGTCTGTGTTAGCATCCCGACAAGGTGACATCACGGCTAATCGAGGAGCACAGTGGGGGCATCGCCGGGTAGATGGTGGGGAGAGGGTGCTTCCTTACACCTACTCAGGCCTCCATTACACCATGTCCTAACATTCATCTCTGCTTCTGAAGGTCCACTGTAGGTCTGCCTGACCTGAAAACCCAACAGCAGGAAACAGAAACTGTCCAGAGGTCATCACCAAAGCGCCAGGCTTTTCTTCACACATGCGTGCACATGTGAACACAGCAGTCCGTGCACTGCCCAGGCTCCACCCCAAACCGTTCAGGATGTCCACGAAGCTCTCAAGATTTTTGCGATTGGGGTCACCCATGTGGAAAACCGTTTCCTCAAGAGCAGCAGTGTTTGACCTAAAAGCCGAACGCGAACGTCCAAAGCACATGAGCGTGTTTAACCTGCAGGATGAGGCACAACTAGCAGAAAGCCCGGCCAAGCTGGGCAATGCCGTTACCTTGCAGTATGTAGGCGGCCAGAGTGGCTGCATCCGAAGTCCTGCACAAGAGGCGGCCATGGTACAGATCTCTCTTGATCTGCAGGAAGACTAGATATCTGCAAGAATTCAGAACAGAAGAAATGACCTGAAGAACATGAGTCGAGCTGGACTGGATCCCAAAAGCACATCCACATGATCTCTATGGATACATCCTGAGCTGCCATTTCCGAGGTGTAGTTGTGTGACTACGGCTGCTGATCACTGAGGGCTTCCCCAAAACTCCTATCACATTTTACCTGGTGATCTCTTCTTTCAATGTGGCAGGGTCAGGGGGGTAGAACTTGACCCGCAAGCACATGGTGAAGGGTGGCTGGGCTGGGGGGCAGAGACATGTTATTGAGGGTGGGCGTGGGGCAGGAGGCCACGGACAGCATTAGACAGCGGATGCCAGACACAGGGCCCCTCAGGACTCACAAGGCCGTACAGACTTCTGGCTAACGACGTAAACCGCGGCCATACAGACTGCTGGCTAACGACGTAAACCGCGGCCATACAGACTGCTGGCTAACGACGTAAACCGCGGCCATACAGAC